GAGAATGCAGGGCCGTGGCTGCTGCAAGGCCAATGAGGCAGCAGCCTTAGGTCCCATTTCATATTTTAATTTTATATATATACTAAAAATTAATTTTAATTATTAAATAATAATATTTATTATATTATTTATATTAATTTATTAGTAAGATTATATAATTTAAAAATATGCATAAATGATAATATTGTATAGATTATGTGAGACCTTTTATTATTCATTTTAAAAATTATTTTACAATTGCTTTATATTAAAAAATACATTAAATTGAATATTCAGATTAAATTATGTAAAAATAATTTTAAAAATATTTTAATGAAAAATAATAAGAATGACTAATTCTTTTAGTTAAAAATTATTTCTTTTAGTTTGGAATGATTTATATATATATAGGGTGAGTTTATTTTCTTTTATTAACAAATTTATTGAAAAATTAAATATTAAATTACTTTGAAATTTTTTATTTGAATATCAATATTCAAAAATTTTAAAGGAAAATAAATTAAAATAATATTATATTAATGTTGAAACAATTTTAAGTTTTAGTCAGCATTGTTAAGTGAGTTCAGCTTCTTCTTATTATAAATATTAATAGAAATACTAATAAAAGAAAGTAATATCCTATTAGAAATGATAAATTATATTTTAAAAAATTATTTTTAAATATATAATATTTATAAAATATTATTAATAATACTTGTAATTGTTGTCATTTTTAAAATAAAATTCAAAATTAAAACTTTTAAATTTACTTTGATATTTATTATATTACAAGATAGTGTTTGAATGAATGATCATAATTTTAAAATTCTTGATTATTAAATTTTGATTCACAATTTTAGTACTAATGTTATTATGATTAATGTAATTATAATAAAAAAAATAGTATTTTAAATATAAAATTTGTTTTAAACCTCAAAATTTCTAGACAAGGCCATGTGAATGAAATATATAATTATCATGAGCGCTCAGTTTAGAAGTGTCATACAACTTCACCCGTAAAAACAAAGGGAGAAAGTTGATTACTTCCATCTTATCTCTTTGGACGGATCGGAACGGGACAAACATCAAGCTGTGCTGAGAAGACTTGAACATACTTGCCCGTGACAAAGTATGTGCCCATGTTTTCCACGCCCCTTTTGTCCAACGCAATTATTTTTATTTTTATTTGGTTCCAAATTTTAAAAAAAAAAAAATTTAGAATAATTTAAATATAATTTTTTTTTGTAAAATAAATAAGATTTAATTTGTTCAATTTTTTTGTCTTTTTAAAACTCAAAAATATTATTTTTTATTTTTGTTAAAAATGTTGTTATAAATCGTATAAATTATAATTTTAGTTTCTATAAAATAATTTTCTTTGATTTCAACCACCTAAAATCATTATTTTTATTACTTAAAGATGATTTTACTTTCTTTCTACTTTTTGTTAATTGCTTTTCCGTCAACTTTTTTCCTTTATGTTTTGTTAATTGCTTTTCCGTCAACCTTTTCCCTTTATTGATTATAATAATTTTTATTTTATAAATATTTTATGTGAAAATATTTATTTATTTTTAGGAGAAATACTTTTGCTTTTACTTTCCCTTTATTCTTAATTATTTTTAAAAATATATAAAGTGAAGGATTTTAGAAAAGCTTATCATCAGCTCATGGGGATCATTTCCTTTAAGAGAGATTTGATTCCTTTTAGTGAGAATTGACTCCTTTTTAAGTCGAATTGATTCTCACAAACAATTCTTTTTAATTCATTATTTTTCTTCATTGAGTCCTTAATTTTATTTTGCCTTCAACAAAAATTTATAATTTATCTTCTTTAACGTCATTTTCATTAAGCATGTTCTTCAAAAAATAACTTTAACCATAAATTCTATATAGAATCACATTGATCGAAAATCATTTCTATTAACTCGTATTCGGACGTAAACAAAAACTAGAATCGAAGAAATAAACAACTTGAAAATTGATGAAGAGAGAAATAAGTTGGAAGATAAATTATATATATATATATAT